TTCAAGATCTGGGTGTTTATGCTTCGAAACCATCAATGAGATGAACACTGCTGTGTTTGTGTCATACTTTTAAACTTCTCAAAAGATGATTCTACTAGAAATGAGTTGTAAAATAGTTATCAAGATAATATTCTATTTGTCTATGGTGATAGAATTATTTCCGCAGTAAAAAGTACTTTGTTTGCGGGACTGAATCAGTGAACATTGCATCAAATTGGGTACTCGATTTTTGAAGTGAATTAACAAAAGTGTTTTAGTTAAGGTCACTGTTTTTTGAAACTTTTCAGTATTGTATATCGATGCTTTTCATTCTCCCATCTTAAATCTCAAATTTAATGTGAGGAATAACTATTGAGTTGCTAAATCCGTTCAAAAGAACACGGAGCTAATTCTTACAGAAATTTTCAATGCAATTTCAACCAACACAGGGAGAAACTTTTCATTCAAATATGAGCATAAAATTCCAACTTTCAATGGTAATGAAATGAACTTACTGTCTAAATCTGTACCCTGATGCAAGTGAGTATCTATCATAGTGGGAAAACGTACTGTTAGATTCATTCAAGTTGAGAGTTTTTATTGATTTCAGGTTGGTATCTACCGTGCGCTGATGTCAGTTGGAGGAACATTGGAAACCTGGGAGCACTGGACAGCTTTTTCGCTCTCATGTGGGACTCCTCAGCAGAGAGTACCCACTAACCTACCAGGGATCGAACCCGTGACCTTCATGTTTCGTGGCCAGGACAACACCATTGAGTCACTGTTCCATATTTCGTACTTCTATCAGTTCACGATATAGCGCGACCATCATCCAATGTCGTCATTGAGTAACTGTCCTCATGTTGGTTGTTTTCACAGGTTGCGACTTTTTATTGGAACTTCAGGAATCACTTTTTGGATCCAGTCATCAATGTTCATCAGACCAATTCAACTTAGGAGTTTATGGGGACTTATTTATTGATTTCAGGTTGTTATTCATCATGATCCTTGGGTGGGTCATGGGTGAACACTTCTGAGGAGTTTCATACTAGAACGAAACAGCTCTCCAGTGTTCCTAAGTTTCTAATGCTTCGCCATCTGATTTCAGTCTATGGTAAATACCAACCTGGAATCAGTAAATAAATCCCCATAAACCTCAAAATCGAAATTTTTCAGTCAAGCTTATCTATCTACCATACAGTAACTAGTGTATTTTTATCCGATTACTTCATGAAATACTAAGCACAAATTTATCTCAATTTCCACTAAATAATCGACTACTTAATGCAATCTGAGATAAATTCCTCAACATTTTTTGATTTCTGACCAAACTACTTCATAAGAGTTAGATAAGACTGAACAGCATATAACTTTAGTAACCCCTAAATGAGCATTGGAGAAGCTTTTTGTCTATTACTATATGAGTAGAAATTGAGCACTGTAGTAGTTTTTAATTTGTTAGAAAACTTCGTGAGGGGAATGGATGTGCTAATTATTGCTCCATAAATCAAGGTGATATCTGTCCGGGTTATGTACAAGTGTAAAATAGGTGGACTTGTTTTATTTTATTGATATAACTGAAGTTTATATGTAGTTAGGTAAATTTATTTATTGTAATAACATTTAGCGAAAACGGAGTAGGTTTACTTCTATCATTATCGTCTTCCATTAGGAATTATCCAGTTGAACTCCAGTGCATCTACAAAGACCACTAAGGTATTTCACCAAAAACGTATAAGTTTGCTCCTTTTAGGAATTTGGTTAACGTAAACAGATGATGTTCCTACTGAATAGTGTGACGTATTTGCACCCTATGTTTTGAGCTATCTGATCAGAAATTTAACTTTCAAGGCATTTTATAAGCAAAGTGGAGATGGAATATGATCATATATTAAAGAAATACCCTGTTCCCTTTGTTATCTAATTTGACTATCCATATTCAAGTCTATTACCACCACTCTGTTTTCTTCATGTAGATATCTAATGGAGGTTCATTCAGCTGATGAGTCCTAAATCGGACAAAACGTACTTCAAGCTTTTCACTGCTAGCCGTCACCTAGTAGATTACAAAAAGAACTAGACTGAAAGAGGAATAAAATGAATTAATGGCTTCTTATAATATATACCGTAAAATAATTGTTTTTTGAAATTCATTGACCATTAACATTTAAAAAAAATGAAGTTTTAAAGTATCTATCACTGTTTGCATACTGCCATAGTTATCAGACAAAAAATTTTTCAACATTATTCAGCTAGTTGTCAAAAATACAGTTACTGGAAATTAGTGTTTACAGAAGAACCTACATTTTATTTAATTTACCAACACTTTGCATAGAACATAATCCAGCCTTCGTCAAAAGAACACTGTTTTTCAATGGTTAGTAGTAGAATTCTGAAACCCTGTTCCACTTTTTCTAAGCCTCTTTAAATGGTTTAGCTTATGTTTCATATGTGAAGCTTCTATTCAGACTTCATCATATCAACCAAAGTTGCCACCATGAGTGTTTATACCAAGTTACTTATCTTACCTTAATATAAGAGAAGAGAAGAGGTTCGTTTATTTAATATGTTGCACAGTGATGAAGCATTATTTACAAGATAGATATTTCGAGCAAAATTCATTGATTCAGTCTGCATCTAGGTATTTACACAACGTCAAGCATCTTGTTCTTCTACTCTTTTCAACCCGCATTCTTTGTTTTCAGTTGTATTTGAATTTTCCATATCTCCAGAATGAATATTACGTCATTCCTACGAGTTGTTTTGTGTGCCAGTTCGATGAAGGTCGACTCGGTAATCAATCGAGTAAGGGTTATTGGTGTTAGGTATTCGACTAAACCATTTATAGTTATCCGCAGTTGGTTGAAGAAAAATCGCAACACAAAAATAAATACTACAACTGACCAACTGTTATCTAGAGTTCATTAGGAAACTCATGAGAACATGCAACAAAAGAAGAAATAGTAAATAGTAAATGTAACACATATACAAAGAATTTCAAGGTTTATCTTATGTAATGTAATCATGTAAGGAAGAAATATTGAAAAATTCATGTGGAGTAGTCAACAAGCCTGGAATTAAACTGTTATCCAAATCTACCAACTTACGCAAAGAAAAACTTTGTTGACTTAGGAATCCTATAGACCTAGTTAGTCAAAACGGTTTGATTTACCAGATACTATCCAATAGTTTTTGGGTCAAGTACATACTTTGTGCCAGTCAACAATGGGTCATTTAGATTATCGGAGCATATGAACTCAATTGAATTTAGACTGATAGACCTCACGGAGATGAATAATCTGCAAAAAATCTCAGCTATTAAACCGTATACACTGGCACACACTCGTTGAATAGGATGGGATAAAGTAACTAAATGCTAATATATTTAGTTGACTGATCATCAAATCTACATTCATCGAATTGAAACTCAACGCATGTAATTGGAATGATGCAACATTCATTTTTGAGATGTAGAAAATTTCAAATAACACTTAAAATAAAGAATAAGGGTTGATGGAAGGAGAAGAACCAGATGCTTGAAGTTTATGTTATTTTGAGAAGTAAGTTGTGTACGATATGCTATCCAGTAAATAATCTTTAATCACTGTGGGCAACAGTAGATAAATAAACCTGACAAAAAGATTTCTACACTGATTAAGACAATACAAAACTACTTTTCCTCGTCCGTTAGTCAACCAGATAGTTGAATAGAGTTTCTGTACTGTTTATTGGTGTTTGAATGAAGAAACTTTGTCAATAAAAATAAACTATCATAAATTCTATGACTTCTGTTTGTACAGGATGTAACGTCCACTTATAAACCTGGAAGTATTGTGATGAACTGGGCATAAATTACTCCATAAATAATAACTAAAGTCATGTTGGAGTGTATTTTGGTTATTTAAACCTGTTGACTAAAGGATACAGAGTTTTACTCCAAAATGTACACCAAAGTGCTTGCAACTACTATAGAATTGAGGAAAATTTAAAAGATATTACAGAAAAGGGGTAAGATATAAAACAGCAACCAAACAAGGAAGAATAATTATAGAAGATAAGTTTTTTTGTAGTATTGGATGTAAAGAGGGTATATCCTGATAGTTTTACTTGTGAGTAATGTCAGATGATATCGGAAATCGCTGAGTTTTGGGATCACCTAAGCGATGAGTTGGGTGTCCGAGGGTGACATAGAGGAGATCGTGCGAGGGAGAAATGAGAGCTTCTGGGCTGTAGTGGAGCCAGATTCAAAAGATTTCAGAGAACTGAGTGCACTGGAGACTTGCTACTGGAGCCCCATGTCCTATTAGGAACCCAAGGGACAAATAATAATACTAAATACAATGAGTTGTGATGCACTATCCTTTTTTAAAGTACTATAATGCAGGTGGAAGACCTTTACGCTCCTCATAACCAGTTTCACATCAAGTAAACTGCCAACAGTTTGAAAACCATTAAGAATAAAGTTTTAGAAATGTCCAAAGAACTTTAATAATTCAAGATAACTCCACTGTACCAAAACATGCGAAACGTGAGGGATATAAAGAAGAAACCATTGACATAGACACCATATCTTGAAGAGGTGAGATGTCATCAAAGTAGAATGTAATTGATTTGTCCAACGTTTTATACCTAAGCTTTTATTAACAGAGTAGCATCAAAACTGTACGAAAGATGGCCAAGATTGATGTATACGGTTATGAAGTTTGAACTATTATAGAAAATCTCATCTAGGATATTATGACGTGAAGTAACTTAGTCTAGATCCCATACTTGATGATGTACATCAATAAGGCATTTCTTTCTCCTTCAAATCAACATTATCAAACCAATTCATCATAGACATTGACAATGAGTTGATACAGTAATAATCATAACCATTTTAAAGTGCATTAAATATGTAAATCAAACATTTGGTGACAATAACCTAGATGATTTCTTGTGTTATCTGAATTTTGTAATATTCATAATATTCTTTTTACTTAGATGATTGATAATTTACAAATTTATGCATAATAATTTACCTGTACTCCAAAATATCCAAGGCATAAAATAAATATTTACATAGAGCATGACAATGAGAGGAAATATCAAGAAAGCTTTATATCATGCAATCCATTCTTATCTTCTGTCTGTTTATATGAAGAAAATGATTTCAATTTGTACTAGATGTATGTATAATGTTAACTAGTTTATATGAGTGAGATAACTATTATTTAATTAGGGAACAAGGTTCTGTTTTTTTACCTGTAATCCAACGAGTTTATCTCTGATTTTAAGGCTCAAAACATTTCAGCCAATCATAATAGTGATATGATCATTTTTTAAACAGCAACTATGGAATCTAATGTTTACAAAAAAAACATTATTAGAGAAAAGCTTTACACATGTGCCATATTCAATGAATAAAATAGGAATTCTAATGTGTGTGTGTGTGTGTGTGAACGGCATTGAAGGTAAGTCTGGAGAAACTGCAGTTTTTCATAATGTATTTTGTTCCATAACAAATTCTAAATAGGATTTCATCAGGGACATTGAAGTAATGAAGTACTGAATATCAAGACTGGTTTCTATCACGGACAGGAGAGTCACTTTATCATACTTTGAGACTTTTTATTACTTTACACTCATGGCTTAGCAAGTGATTGGGCTTAGGAACGTTTGGTATCATTTTGTTTCGTGACTGTAGCACAATTCATGATCTTAGCAGCGTACGAATTGTTCTGAAAGGGTTCAAAGCTGTTGGAATTTGTTTTTATTAGTAAGCGCTTTAGTCTTTTTCAGAATCACTAGTGTGTAGGTTTCTTTTAGTGTTTTCGCATAGAATGATTCGTAAATAATGTGGTTGATTCCTTGGAGTTTAGTACGGCAACAAGACTTATTCTATCTCTTAATCTGTTTGATCATATGCCTAGTTGAGATCTTAGACCACCTTCCAGGTGAGTGTGACTAAGATAGAGTACTGCTAACATATTTGTTCTATTCAATCTGTAGAAAACGAAGCACATCTAATTTTCCCAGATTTGTCTCTGAGCTGTATTGTAAGTGACCATGAAATTTCAGATTTCAACGTAGTATTCAACAAAAGTTGTCAATGTAACTCAACCTGATATATATCTGATTACTAGACTGTGAACGATATTTGTTGTATGAAGGTTTATGACACTACTCACGTGGTCAGGTTGGATTTATTATTTTATTATTATTTGTCCCTTGGGTTCCTAATGGAACATAGGGCTTCAGTAGCACTTCTCCAGTGCACTCCGTTCTCTGCAAACTTTTGAACCTGGTTCCACGACAGCCCAGAAGCTCTCATTTTTTCCTCGCACGATCTCCTCCATGTCACCCTCACCTCCCATGGCCAACTCGTCGCTTCCCATCGGGGTCCCACTGGAGGGTCTGACGCGTGATGTCCCCAGTTGGCCTTCTCAGTGTATGCCCAATCCATCTCCACTTCCTTCCACTGCATACTTGTTGAGAGATAGGTTCATGGTTGGTTCGTTCCCAGACAGAGTGACTTCCTTCTTGCTTATTCTTTCTGGCAATCCATCTGAGCTTCAGTGTCAGTAAAGAGCCAGTGTAGGCAGTTGTTGATGAATGTCTGTAGTTTGTTGGAAATGCTTTTCGTGACATGCCAAGTTTCTGAACCATATAGCAGTTCTGACTTGACATTGGGATTGAAAATCCGTATCTTGTTCACGCTTTATGCTGAGGTGAGTGCGGTAGATCTCCACACTGGTTTCAGGCTAATGAACGCCTGTCTTGCTTTTCCAATCCTGGCTTTGACATCCTCGTGTGTGCCACCTGTAGTTAAAACAGTGCTGCCTAGATAGGTGGAAGAGACTACTTCCTTTAAGTTTCTCCTGTTGATGGTGATTGGAGCCTGTTGTTGTTGGTTGGGTATCTTCATCACCTCTGTCTTCGCTGGATTCGGTGAGGTGGAATTCAAACATGGAACCCATTGTTAGAAATTTGAATGCTTAAGCCACTGATCCACAAATTTAGCTGACATGAGTCCATGATGAAATCGGTCATTTCCTATAGGTGGTCATCTTTTCATAAAATAGGTGTGCTTTTTCTAGTGTTCATTATTGTTCATTACAGAAATAAACAAAGAAATTTTTGTCATTTATCTCAGGGATTTTGATGAATCACTCAGCAGATAAACAATAATATCTCCTAGGATCCAGATACTGCATTTGCCGTAGTCCAGGAAAAAACTTGTTTATGTTTCGTTATTTTCATTTTAAGGCATAGAAATAAAAAATTTAGACTAAGGGGAACATACTAAAGTCAACTTTCCCACTATAACCATTCACTTCTAGCATAAACGTATGACCGCCAAGTCATCAATCCAAACGTCTGATGGCAGTAATCTCTCACGAATTGTTTTCTCACCTTATTTGAAGCATGATATAACCTCTACTTTGTTAATTATGGTTAAGAATTATTGACTGTTATTCATTTAAACTAAGACTAACTAGTGGACCTTTAAACGGTCTCTAAAAGCTTCAACGTTTTCAAGTTGAACAATTTTTTTGGAAGTTAAATAGCAGTAGATAATCTTTGATCGGTATCATATCTCATGAAATGGTTTTTTAAGAACTAGTATTTCGTGTAAATTTGCTTATTTTATTAATATTATTATGATGCAAATGTTAGTCTTATTACCGTGCAGTCTCTTACTCCAAGTAGTCTGGACTCCGATGTACAAATCTTAATACGGAAGCGATTTCTCAATAGTTATTTCTCTGTATTGTTGGAATGCTAAAATAGCAAATGTATAGGGTGTTTATTACGAATGTCCAGTAGCAGAGCATTTTCTTTCTAATGTGCATACACAGCATAGTGTGAAATTTAACTATCAGTGTAAAAACCAGAAATGCAGCTAGCAATGGACAAATGAGTGATAAACTAATCACTGGTTTCATATAAAATGAACATTTTGCGGCTCATTGATGGCTATCTTCGAGAGATGATTTCCAAAGTTCCAATGAGAAGTCATGACCAGTGGAGTCAACCAAGTTGAACATGAGGACAGTTACTCAATGATGATATTGGATATAGGTTGTGCTATATCGTGAAATGACAGAAGTAGGAAATGTAGACGACTGAATTCCGACCAAATGGCTCAATCCTAACGTGTTGGCTACGGGACCTAGGGGTTCTAGGTCCGATCCCTGGTTGGGTGGGGTCATGGGTGCGCACTGTTGTAGGGTCCCGTACTGGGACGGAAGAGCTGTCCAGCGACCCCAGGTTTCCAATTTTCCTCCAACGGATGTCAGTCCATGATGAATTCCAACCTAAAGTTTATAAAGATTTACTGTGTTTATCGGTAGTGCTTTATTCCATTCAAATAATCAGTCATTGAACATGATGTCTTCAAATATTGGTATTGCAAGTGTATCATTATTGAAAGTCTTCTTCAGATAAGCTGCTTCTGGAATTGATTATCAATGTGTTATGTCTAAAAATGGTTAATTAATCGATGTATATAGTATGATAACTTATGTTTCAGGTGAGAATCCATGTCATTAGTCAGTACGGAACTGCTTACCATTTATCAATTTTATAAACTAATCATAATTAAATGGAACACTATGACACATTAAAACTTCTCATGACTTTGCTTTAGTTTCCAGTGCCTCTAAAGTTGCATGGTATGCTACTGAAGTATTTACAGCTGGAAGTCACAGCTCACAGATTATTTCCATTACTATATCCGTTATCTATAGTTATATTGGTAACTCAGAAAATTATCTAGAAATCCATTTAGATATGCTGATAATGAATTTATTATTTTGAGATTTATTTAAGATTACCTTTGCTAGTTGCAAATATAAGGAAATGAAAGATGAAAAGCTAAGAGATGCTAGGCAATCATTTTTCTGTCTTGTATGTTAACAGGTTTTGTTGGAGACAACAGTGTCAAAACAACAAGATGCTACAGGAATGCTATGCACATGAATTCTAAAAGCAACATTATTATGCCAAACTGTCTAACGATAACAACGGAAAGACTCTTGGAAATAAAAGCTGATTTCTAGTGGAATCGATAAGAGGGTAGAAGACTTACAAGCATCTTTCTTTTTGTTAGGTCGTTGCTTTGAGAATAGGGCCTCAATAACTGCCATCAGTCAGGGATTGACAGTTAAATGCTTCTGTTTACGTATACAGTAGTTAAAATACGAGATCCGAGGTACCTAATGGGACCTTCATTTAAGTTTCATATAACTCTAGATTGGATTTATCAATTTTGCATAGCGTACAGTGATACAGTATTACTGGCTGTATGACATTTTGAGAACGAGTTATTTCTCATATTTATGTCAAAGTATACCCAGAAGTTCCGAAACCTGGATTTCCATAATGATATCCCCTCTCAATATTTGTTTTCGTTTGTGGTCTGTATATCAACTAATAAAGAACAAAAATAAGGTCATAGTTCACGTCAGTAGGACAACCAATCGAAATATACATGGAGATGATGATAAGACTTTAGCAGAAACAACCAATAACACACAAGATAATCAGGACAGGCTACTAACCCACTTTTGGAGAAAATCTCATAGCTCACTTCTTTCTGTAGCTTTTCCTGATGATGTTGTCTAGAATGACAATGAAAGCTTCGCGTTTATATGATCTAGCTCAGGGAACACAACACCACCGAAATAATCCTTTTGAGCTACAAATAGTCTCCATTATCTCAATATTCCGAACAATCTGATGACCTATCACCTGTTTTTTTCTTGTTTTATGCTTGGTTGTGGATGCAGAAGGTTAACTTTCACCTGAGCTTGTCATAACTTCACAATCCAGATGTTTTTGAAGCCATTTACATACACGTTCACCTATCCAAAACTGCACTGATCGAACAATCTTCTCTATGTATGGGTGTCCTTAAACACACAAATGTAAATCGGTATTGACAGTGGGATGTGATATAATAGTCTATACAGTCTTTAGGTTAACGAAGAAGTATGTCTTCCTTTTTTTCGATAATAAAAACCTTGGTTCCATAATACGTTTTACTAATGATAGATCTTAGCCTACGTCTCAAAATCATACTGTTACTATGCTAAATAATGAAACATTTTTGGGAGTGTTCATTCAGGTTCTTCTTCTGTTTAGTTGTCTGCATTATGTACGCGTACTAATGTTATGTATTATGATATTACTGGGCGCTTGT